TCTGTCAGTTTTAATATTTTTTTTGTTGTTTTTCTTTTTTTTTTGCCAGTGTCTGTTTTTTTTTTTTTTTTTTTTTTTTTTTTTTTTTTTTTTTTTTTTTTTTTTTTTTGTTTTTTTTTTTTTTTTTTTTCTTTTTTTTTTTTTTTAATCTTTTTTTTTTTTTTTGATCTTTTTTTTTTCTTTTGTGACTAGATTATTATGAGTAACATAAGTTGTCCTTTATTTGTATAAGACAGGTTTCGTTATTGAATCTAAACTTCAAAAAGTCATTGCAAAAAAAAGGACACATCAGATTCATTGAGTTTCACATAGCAGCAATCATGAACATATCTCTGTATACCCCACTATTTCAGCTGCTGGAACATATATACCACCATTAATGATATACAAAGGTATATGAATGATTCCAGGTCTTTCAGATAGCGTATCTGTGAGTACTGTTATGGGGTTTACTGATATGGGATATATGCAGGAGAGCCTATTTAAAAAATACATAGAACATTTTGTTAATTTTATTCCTCTCATACACTCTGTTTTACTAATTCTTGACAGGCACAAGAGTCATGTCAATTATACTTATATCAACTTCTGTTATGAAAATAATATTCTTCTCTATACTCTTCCACTACATACCACCCATGTTCTACAACTTGCCAAACTACTATTTGCTTAACTCAAACAAGTATATAACAGTGAATGTGATAAGTTTCGTATTATTGACAGCAAGCTAGTGACAAAATATACATTTGCTAAACTCTTTGGGCAGGCTTATATTAAAGTATACACCTCCACCGCTATATGTAAGGCTTTCAAGACAACAGGAATATGGCCATTTAATCCTGATATCATTAGCCCTAGCCATCTTGAACCCTCAATGGCAATACATAACTTTGATCTACCAAATTCTGAGCAACTAATTCATCTACTTGTTACACTAACTTCACTTTTGTCTTTACCTAGTTTAGTACCAAATTGCCTCTGCTTGACCTCTACAAATAAAGAATTGTGAATAAAAATAAAATCACTTAATCAGAGAGTTGAATATTTAGAAACAGAACTGGAGCTCTATAAAAATTCAGGTACTAGCCCTTTGTGGCTAGTGCTTAAATATCCTCTGCAGCAGCATTCAAAGCAGATTGAAGATTCAGAGATAAATGAAGTGCAGCCTGAAATTCAGCAGCCCAAGAAAAAACAGAAAACCATGTCTTTCTCCTGGCTTCTTATGAGTGAAGAGTCATTGTGCTTGTTGAGGGAAGCGGAGGAAGATGCGGAAAGAGTTGCTAATAAAAAAAAAGAAAAAAAAGAAATTGCTATCCAAAAATAAATAGCAAAGGAGGCGGAAAAGGTGCAGAAACAAGAAATTCACAAGCAAAAAAAAGAAGAAAGAGAGCGTGCGAAGTTAGAACAACAGCATATTAGAGAGGATTATCTATGTGTGCTATTTTTGGTCATTATCTTAAAGATCACGATTTACGAAAGAAATTTTATATATATAGAAAAAGTTTTTTTTTAATAAAAATTTTTTTTAAAAATAAGAAAAAGACTTAATTCAAATCAAATTATACTTACCTCTAAAATTTTATAAATGTTTGAAGCAATTTGAAAAGGTTTCTTATTAGCATATTTAACTGTACTATAATACCCATACTCACCTTATATTATTAATAATTTTTAATTTTATTTAACAAATTATAAATACTTTTCAAAATTTTAGACAAATTTGTTTAAAAAACAGTTTAAAAAATAATATATAATAGATAATTAAATAGGCTAATTGAAGTAATTTGGAATAACTTTTGATCTATTAATTAGATTTGAATAATTTTATTATCAAAATATTCATCTTAGTAAGAGAATTCTAACAAGTTTAAAATTATTAAAATCCAATTACAGAATTTCAAAATCATTATAATTTTGTATTATTTTATTAGTAATTTTTAGTAATTTTAAAATTACTATTAAAAATATCTTTGATATTAAATAACTCTTGACTTGCTGATATGTTTTTGGATGATTTTGCTATCAAAATATTTGTCTTAATAAGATAATTTTAATAAGTCTAAAATCATTAAAAATCTAATTACAAAATTTAGAGATTATTAACATGTAGATAATCAACTAGGAAATATTTTGTCATATATAAAATCTATTTTTTAGTTTTTTTTTTTTTTTTTTAATGTTAAAGGTGAGACCATGCTCTTATCTTTATTAGACTTAATAAAAACTTTTTACAT